TCCGCAGCGAAGCATGCCAATCTGCACGAAGCATACCTTCCTCAGCATGCTTTCTGAATCAGTTACAATCACGGTGTGTGTGTGTGTGTCGTGTTCTCTAGCCAGCGCAAAGCTGCATTGACCGCCTCCACCTCCATTCTTCAGCTGGATGTTGTGGTATCATATGCTAGGCTCTCCTGCACTAAATGTCGACCATTACCTTTGCTAAGAAGCCCCACAGCACTTCTTTTGCCTCTTGAAACCGAACCGTCTGTGTAAATGATCAAATCCTTCAAGCGAGCATTATCTTAAATTACCTGCTGAATTTCCACCTCAGTGGCACCCGCTGGCCAGTCTCTGCATTCCCAGCTTAGCGTGATTATGACTCTACACACGTCTGACTGTTCAGGTGGCACTTTGACCCACTCCTCTCGCCTAATGTTTTCAAGGATGCAAACCTGTCTGATTGTGTCTTCTGTCCGAGCCATCCATGACCTCCCTCTTATCAGCCGCTGACTCTTAACTGCATCCAGAGCTTCATGCATAGGGTGGTCTGTGCCTGCAGCTACCCTGAGATATGACTTCGCCTGCAGCACCTTATGCCTACCTGCAACCGTCGGCAAACCAAGGATGTATCACAAACAGATGTATCGCATACAAAAGCCACTCTAGTGCAACCCAGAATGACCTGCATAGCCGAGTTCTGTATGCGCTCTAGTTTGTCCATCTGACTCTTTGAGACGGTAAGTCCCAGGCCAAAATCCACAACTGAAAGTATCAGGTGCTGATATAGTGTGAAAAGCAATCTCTGCTCTATGTCAATTGCAGCAATAGTCTTAAGTGCACTAAGTCCTTTTTGGCATCTCGTCACAACACTCTCCACATCATCCCTAAATGACAGGCTCCTGTCAAATGTAATGCTCAGATACTTCAGTTTGCTCTCTCTGTTGACGTTTCTGCCATCGTGAGACTTGGGACAATAGTTTAAACGATTCTGTTGTCCAGAGAACACAAAACAGACGCTTTTTCCTGGTGGACGACAGCCCTCATTTATGTACACCACTCGGTCAATTTGTCTACTGTCGCTTGTAGCTCCCGGGCTGTTTGTTCCCTCTCTTACCTCTGCCTATATGTAAGTATATCATCCGCAAAAGTCAGTATACTTCCAACTCCTAGTGCAATCTTGCTCGTATACACGTTGAAGAGCACAGGCAAGATGGCGGATCCCTGTGGCAGTCCTGGGGCCAAAGTGCATTGTTCTGATGTCCATGAGCCCAGTCAGAGAGCAACCCGATGTGAATACAGGAAAGCTGCAACCCAGTTCACCAGCCATGGACTGACCTCCTTCTCCCTCAGTGCAGTCATTAAGATGTCGTATCTCACTCTGTTATAAGCATCCTCGAGATCCAGTCCTACCGCCATAGTTTCATGTCTGTTTTGGAACCCTTCATAGACATCAAAAGCAAAAGTGGCTGCATTTGCCCAAGTGTCCTTTTCTGGCCTGTAGCTTTCCAGACCTCTTGGGAGAAGCTTCCCCCTTTCCAAAAATTCTTGTAGCTTTACAGCAACTATCTTCTCCAAGACCTTCCCAAATGTGTTTTGTAAGATGATGATTCTAAAGCCATTAAGCTTAGAATGAGCTTTAAAAGGTTTTGGTGCCCGGCTCTCTAGCGTAGTTGGCTAAACCGGATTGCGCAGAGACCGGGTGACGAACTCCTTGTGGTCCGGATTCAATCCCGGGGTAGGCAGGAAAGCCACATTTCTCCCAGATTTACAGTATTTACAACGGAATCAAGGCCGAAAGGTTGCGATATCCATAATACCGAGCCTAAGGGTTAACAACTCATGGCTTCTGGATACTAAAACAAACAAATAACAACAAACATAAAAGGTTTTGGTAGTGGGATTAGATAGCTGTGCATCCCTATAGGACAGGTTTCTATCAAAAATGATGCCCATGTACCTCATTTTGCTTTCTCTTTTAATGTTACTCTATTAACTGTGAGGTTTAGAACATTAGCATTTACAATTCTATTGTCCAGAGGGCACCACAAAACCGCTGCCTTTTCTGAGTTGATGACAGCAAATACATTTTGCACATTAGAAAGTCACTTTGTCTAAAGTTGCTTGTAGCTCTTGAGCTATTAGTCGTCTTTCTCTCCCCTGCATTTATGCAAGAACATCATCGGCAAATGTCAATATTCTTCCAACACCTGGTTATTAAAGTTCTGCAATCATGCTTGTATACACATTAAAGAGCACTAGTGAAATTGCAGAGCCCTGGGGTAGCCTCGGGGCGATATTACATTGTTCTGAAGTCCATGTAACCCAAGCGAAGGGCACCCATACGTGAATGCAGGACAGCTGCTATCCAGGTCACAAATCCCCATTCTCCAAGAGTGCAGATATGAAAATATCATAGTTGACTTTATTATAGGCACCCTCAAGATCAAATGCTGCCACAACCGTCTCCTGTCTGCTCTGGAACCCCTCATAAACATCAAAAGAAAAAGTAGCTGCA